TCAGTGTTATTACTATTACCTGTTTTATTTCCTGTGGATTTGTTAATATTTTTTCCATCTCTCTCTTTTATGGGAAGACTTTCCAGTGATACATCTTTCTTAGCTTAGTTCTTTGCCAAAGAACTTGTATGAATTGCACAAGTATGGACAAAGACTGGTCCAAATTTGCAGTACTGGGAATATACTGGGAATATACTGGGAATATTGTATTGTAGTGACAAGTTAATCAATGTCCGAATCTAGAAGGTTATGTTTTCTCTCAATATGCAGTGGGACAGGTAATCCCCATGGCTGGAAGGACAATGGGAGGGTCATTGGTGACTCACCTTTCGCTGTTGACTGGACAGCATGCATGGGGATGCAGCATGTGGAAGTGTGTAGATGATTCTTTTAATGACTTGGTAAATCATAAATAGATTTGGACACGGGTCATGTTCCTCAATGCTTTGTTGATTCAGTTCCTACGGATAAATCCAGTATTTCCCAAGAGTGATAGATAGAGCGCTAGAACTGCAGGACACTGCTCAGGGGAATGTTTTCTGGAAAGAAGGATTTTTTCACATCACTGCTGCCCATCTGTGGTCCTGACTGCCTAAGGGGCTCTACTACTGGGAAGAAGCTGGAGGGTGAGAGAACAGTAAGTGATTTGCAAGTGATAGGAATTGGTCACACAGAGTGATGACTAGAGCAGCCACATAATCCTTCATTGTTTTCTTTGGCCAAATAATATGTCTGGCAGAGAGGCTGCAATGAGGACATGAGCAAAAGCCTGGTAAAGGATCACAGGATCCTTCTGGGATGGAGGTGTAAAGGTGGATTTCACCCTCCTCTTTTTTTCTTACAAAAAGTGCTATTCCTGTGGAGATCAGCACAGAGTCATTTAGATAAGGAAATGCATTGAGGGGAGTATTCTTCTGGGGGGTATTTGAAGCATTTTATATAAGGGATCTATCAAGAAACCAACTGAAAATGAAAGGGAAAAGAAAATAAAAATGTTCACATAGATTGCCCCTGGTATCTCAGAGGAACTGCAGTCATTATGGTGGACTTGCTATAAATACATAACAGAAAACTTCCCCTGTGCCTAAAGATTCCATAATCTAAGACAAATGGTAATAAAAGGGAAAGGTGCAGGGGTTGTTGTAGCACAGGAATTTCCGGAAGGATTTGAACGAGAATTTTGCAGATATATATGGAGAGGTGCAGCACGGAAGGATCCAGGGCTCTCTTGACTTTTACTGGGTGAAAAGTGGTAGAAGAGCTTGATGTATATAGTTCCACAAACGCTAAACTCTTGGGGAAATGTAAGAGGACAGCACTTGAGCCAGCAATGACATGGGTGGGAGGGCAGTGGAAACACAAGGCTGAAAATTCTCATAAAGGGTAACCTTCTGTTAGGGTTGCAAGAACCAGAAGGAAAAAAAAAAAAAGTGCTTTCTGAGGGAGAAAAACCCAGAGCTCACTCAGCACTGGGGGCACTCGGAAAGACCGTTTGACACACTTGTGAGCAAGGACTTGGTAGCGAGTGAGCTGGTGCGAAGGCTGGAGCCAGTCCTTCACCACCTGTACATTAGGTAGACCAAGACATCCCCCTCATTTGTGCTACCCAAAAGCATGGAGTTGGATAGTCATACTGCTGGGCAGTAGCACTAAGTGGATTAACAGCATGCTCAATGTTGGCTCGTTTTCCAACAGTATTGTGGTTTGCAGTATGGAGAATGTGGCTGGCAGATCAGATGGGATATTTTTTGTCATAACATTTTTCATGTTAGGCCTTAGAAATTAAGAGTTGCATTTTGGTCTCCTTAGCTCAGAGCTACTTCCCCCCCAGTACTGTGCCTTCCCAGGTGAAGTAGAGACTGAATTTCACTGTTACGTTATTATATACATTTTATCATCGTTCAGGTGATACCATAACATAGGGAAGTTCAATGGGTAACCAGAGCCTAGGAAGCACTGACAGTGCTTATTTAAGCTGTGAGTTAGTCAGTGTTTTTATTTTACCAACAACTTTAATGCAGAATGACTTCATATTCTTTACAGGGCTAATGTTGGTTTGGACTTCATACTTACCTGCTTTTTTTTGTGAACAAAAAGCCAAACTAAACCAAACCAAACCAAAAACTGAGAATGAAAAATTTGGGACTGAATGGTGTACTTTTCAGCCAAAAGCTCCTGGTATGGGTCTGAGTTCTCTTTGAAAGGGCTCTGCTGGTGCTTCAGGATTTCAGTCTGGGTCCTCATGCCCCAAGACACATCACTGTCTTTTCATACTGTACATCCATGTGAGTTTTCATCCTGAAAGTCTATTATCATAGTGCAAGAATGAAAATGAAAGCTAGTCCACAGAAGGGGAGTTGGGCACTGGAGCCTTATTTCTGAATGCAAACTTTTTGGCTATTACTGAAAAGTGTTTCAATGGAAAATTGTCAGTTTTTTAATCATGTTTCTTTTCATTGCAAAGGGAACACTGTGTACCATGTACAAAGTGTTTTGTGATAAAAGATGTCATTTAAAAATTCAGACTTAATTTATTATGAGGACAAAATGATGGATCAGAAATTGAGCATTTGATATACCTTGCAAATAAGAATGAGTTAATATGAGTACAATTAATGCAGGAAAGAACTTGTTATCAGACACTTACTCTTTGAATGTCCCTCCATCCTATTGTTTAGAAGAACATATTCAAAATGCATTTCAGCAGTGTAAAGGAGAGCAATTCAGTGAAAGAGAGATGAGAAAGGAAGAGATTTCCGAGCATAGTGGATTTAAATAGTAAACCATAATGTGCCAGTAGCAGTCAGATTTTAACACTGAATATAATAGCAATATGGCTCTTCTCTGTCAGAGCTGTTTCTACATTAAGAACATTTAGTTCTTTGGAGAGGTACAGATTACAATTAAAGTGTTTGCTTCCCATGTTGAGTCTCCTTGAGTTTTGTTGCTCATCACACACAACAATAGTTTGAATGAATTAGATGTCATCACTGTTTGTGCCTGTGTACATCCACAGAACTGTGGTAGAAAAAACTGCTTAAACTCATTCGCCACTGACGTCCTATGGAACATGATAATTGAAATATGGGTATGGTAGGCGTGTTACAGAAAATCTGACACTACCACAGCAAGGCTGCTTTTAAAATAGCTTTCAGAGCAGGGGATGGAAGAGAGATTTAGCTGAAATAAAATGTTACTGATCAATTTGTGTGCTTTCTGAAGAACTAGAAATAGGACTTGCTATTACGGGCCAGCTACCTTGACCAATCTCTTCATATCCTTTGGTCAGTTGCCATTTTGCACATCTTAATTCAACGCAAATTATTCCATGACATAAAGAAAATAATCTCCCCAGTGGTTTACTTTTCTTCCAGAAGAAAATAAAATTCCAGTACCCGAACTTTGGCCAAAGCTCGACACAAATTTTAAAGTGATAAAATGCTTTATGGCCCACATACTATATGGCCCATATGGCACCAATTCTGGTAGTTTTCTCTGATGCCAGTTGGCTGGAATGAAACATGACCATAGATATCATATAGCTTTGGTAAGTAGTCCAACCAACATTACAGCATTTAGGATCAAAAAAAAAACCAAAACAAAAAACAACCAAAAACAACCAACCAACCAAAAAAACAGTTACTTCACTAGAAAATAACTAATTGATAGAATTGACAATTTAGGAATACCACAGAGTTTTGAGCCAGAATGTAACTGGATCAGAGGGGGAAATAGTGTCTCGTGGTTTTGATGTTAGGCATCCTAGATCATTGGAAGAATGGATGGGATGGATAACATTCTAAGGTCTATTGGATGAGAGGTGTCTGGAAGCATCTATTGCCCTGCCACAATAATGGTAACAAATGGATTCTTGAATCCCAGGATAACAACACTGATTTAGAAAAAGGGACATCACACAAGCACACATAGACCCACTGTGTTGTCTTATCCAAGGGTATTTGCTCAATAGAGTGATGGGTCTATAGCTAAAACTTGCTGCAGTTTGTGGTTAGGCAGCTTGACTTCTCAGTAGAACCCTTGTTGGAAAAACACAGCAGAATCTGTGCTATGCTAGACAAAGAAGTCAGCGCAGAACCAGAAGACAAAATCAGACACCTTAAGACATGGGACTGGTCATGTATTTGTACCTCACTGAAAGAGAGAATATAACCTAAAAACCACCAAAGTAGACAGCTTTGAGGGATAGTTTGCTTTTAACTGGTCTAAGCCACTTTTCTGAAAAAAAAAATGTCAAATGATAGCTTTGGCAAAAGGAGCCATTCAAAAATGCAGCCTGCGAGAGAGAGTGGAAGAGAGCTGCCCCACACAACGTGGATGTAACAACCATCCTGCTCTCACTTCTCTTCTCAGACTGGGTGGTGGTGAGCTTTGGGGTGACCTCCACAAGGCACAATGCAGAGTCCATGGCAGTGGGAGAGGAAGGGAAAAGTTGGGTTTAACCTTCAGCTGTGCTTACTAATTCCTGCCTGTTTGCCTTTGCCAGGAAGAGTAGTGGGAAGGAAATCTCCTGTGTGCATGTTAGTCAGGGGTAGCTTCAGTCAAGTCTTTGGTTTGAAAACAAGACAGTGATTTTAAGTCAGTGTATCTCATGAAATAATTAAGTCCCAGTTGTCATACTTAGTCAGATATTGTGTAATGGTCACATGCACTGTGAAAACACTCACTGGAATCAACAATGGTAAACATTATTTAATGTGATGAGTGTGGCAGGCAAAAGCCACTCCTTCAAAGTAATAAATCATATCACATTTCGCTACCTTTATCTTGGCAAGAAGCCATCAAGGCTTCAGGCTTTCATGATATATGAGTTGCTTTTGAAATGCTTTTTCATTAGGAAGAGTGAGTCTGCAAATGAGGTGCAATGAAATTCTGCATTTATTGTATCTTGTGATAGGCAGATTAAATGTACCTAGGCTGCAAAGCAACTGATCTTTAGTTTTTATCTGTATACTTCATCTGTGGTTTTTGCTTTTTTTCAGAACCGCTGTTGTCTTTCCAGTATCTTAAGTTTTTTCACTCTCATTGCCCACCTGCAACTCCGATTCTATTTCTGAAGGATGGTAGAAGGCTTAAATCTACTGGGACACGGTAAGGGGATTTATGCTTTTTCCCCCATATGTTGGCCCAGCATGCAATGACATACTCGTGTTCAGATTGGGCTCCGTTGGCTTCAGAGTGGCACAGATATAAAGTGAAAGAATGTAGCTGTGCAGAGTTTTGGTGGTGTGGGGACAGGGCAGAATCACCCTGCAACAGTAGAAATGCAGCGGTATTCCTTCTGTCTTTTATGTTTGATTAAATGTTAGATATGTGTAGGGACTTGTTCTTTTCTGGATGGTCCCACTAAAAGAAAAGGCTGGATCTGATGCATAGTCAATAACATTAGCTTGGAGATCAGGAGAGAGGAGATCAAGATCTGTATAAACAGTTTGGGGTTACAAACATTCAGTGAACTTTTGCTGGGAGAAATCAAATGTTAAAAGCATGCAAGCAGCAAGGGCACCAAGTACTATTGTGTGACTGTCTTAGGGTATGCCATAAGCCTGGCTGAGAGTCACTGCTGTAATTGTTATTCAGCACAGAAATTGGAAATGTACTTGGACTGCAAGTAGTCTGACCTGTAGAGGAAACCGTATCTCATGACATGCTGAGTGTTCCCAGGGGTGAAAGGCAGGAAGGAGCAGGATGCATCCAGTATTTCACTGTCACATCATCTTCCTGCCCTGCTAATGTAACCAAGAATCCACGGCAGAATTTCTTTTATGCTCAGTTAAAGAATTATTGACCTAAGCAGTTTTTCTGAAGAAACATCACAGGTTGAACTGTTGGCATCAAAAGTTTAAACTTCTGTGTGGTGTTGGAAGTGCCTCCAAATGGCCACTGATGGATTTGATTCTCTGTTTATTGTTGCTAATGTCACAAGCATGTTTTCCCTGATAGAGAGACCTCAATTTCAGACACATCATCTCCATAGTAATTGGTGATAAATCACCTCCACAGTGTCTGGGTTTCCCTGAAATGCAAAATGTAGTAGTTTTACTCTCAAGTTGTTTTGTTTCAGCCAGCTCAACTAAAATACCTTTTTTTAATACTAAAAGCAAAAAAGCATTTTCAAGAATGTTTTATGAAAAGTCAAACATTCAAATGAGAAAGCTCAGAAGTAAGGATGCACATGAATCTTCAAGTCAACTTGCTTACACTGTCTCTGTTTTTTGATAAATTATCACTTACTGCCTTCTCCACTTGCTCTCATGTCATTCTATGGGGATTTGCACAGTATTTCTTTCCACTCCCCACATTCAGTGTGTGGACTTGAAAATGGACTTTTTACTAACTATCCAAATGCTGTATTGAATAAAACTTCACTTATTCATTGTATCTCTCTAGTGCTTTGAATATTACTTCTAATGCTTTTGTGTATATAAATGAACTTATCTTCATGTAGTACTTTTCAAAATAGCAGGTGACATTGCTGTTTTACATTGGGGAAACTGGAGCCTGGAAAGGTCAAGTCTAAAACTGTAGGAAATGTCAACCAGTCTGGGGTTTCTAGACTGAAATGTAGATTATTTTTTTTTTACTTTTTTTTTTTTTTTTTTTTTTAAATACATCTTAGCGTTTAAAACACAGCTATAATTGATCTCAGCTGCAGCTGATGGCACTCAGCAAGTCCTGCCAATCTGACTGCAAGTGCCCAAGCCCAGGCATCTGGAAACCAGGAGTGATCCCACATGAGATAAGTGCTTGCCAAATATCATGGAGGAGTTCTGGGTCAGAGGATGAGCAGATTTCCATTCTCAGGGGTGTCACTTCAGGTCTGAGGTGTGAGATAATTTTTCCTTCTGTTGTTCTTCTCATTCAATATATTCTGTGTTTGGGCACAATGCAGGTGTTCCATGTAGGTGAAAGGTTTTGTCACATTTATTTGCATTTGGAAACTATTAATTTGAGGGTTTTGTTTTTAAAGCAGCATGTTTTTTTTTTTTTCTGTATTAATCCTCACATGCATTGGGTTTTGAATTTAAGAAATTTGTAAATGTAAATGCAAATGCAAAACATTTCTGATTTTTTCTCCTCATGCCAGACAAATGAAATGGCTTTTGCTTACTGTATTATATCCTGGAGTAAAAACATCTTTAGGAGTACCAGTCCATTCATTTTCTTCATAAAATTTATTCCAGATAAGCCTGTTTCTTTCAGTTTCCCTGGAGTTTTCCTGTTCTTTCCTCTGTGCTGTCTGACACAAGTCACACTAAAAATCAGAAACAGACCCTGAAGCAATGGGGAAGATGCAGTCACAGAGGTACAGCAACAATTAAAACCAGGATCATTGCAGAAGGTGAAGGAGACAAACATGGACATACAGTAACCCAATACTTTCTACACACTAGAAAATCACATAAGACAAACCTTTATGTTGTGTTTCTCTAAGGTTGTTTTAAATGGCTGTGATCCACTAGTTTTGAATGTGATCATCAAAACTTGTTTGTGGGTTTGGTTGATGATCAAGATCCTGCATAAAACCTTTTTCCTTGATAGGTGAAGTTATTGAGAGTAGGGTTGGCAGCATCCCTGAACATTACTTGCCTGTGTCTCATAATTTAAATGATAATAAGTGTTCTGGCAAATCTAATAAATCAGGTATGCATTGGCCTTTGCACACATACAGGGGATGGTACATGTGCACAAGTATCACAAGATCACAAGTATGCACATGTATTTGCCATTATTGATTTTTTTTTTGTTTGTTTTCTCTGATGATTTAGCAATATCTAAATGAAACAAAAATGTGGATGAAAACCATTATTACAAGACTTAAGTTGTGCTGAAATTTTTCAGTCTTTATTACGAGACAAAATTCTGGAGCGTCATTCTCCCAGACAGGAGTGAAGAGGCACAAGTGCTAATTAATCACTGAGGGCCAAAACTGTACAGAGTGCTTGCCCGTGCTTCATCTTGACACACTGATTCTACAAATGAAGAGTCAGCTCAGTATGTGGCATGATTACAATATGTAGAATTGTTTTGGAATAAAAGAGCACAGGTTTTTTTAGATTTTAAAGCTCTCCAAAATATTTTTTTAATTGGCAGTAAAACAGTAAGGCATTTAAAATGCAAACTATAACAATAAACAGGGCTTTGCTCTATTTACGGCTTGTGAATAAAGATTGCACAAAGATGGTAACTTTTAGTTTTGCATTAAGCCAGCTTCATTCTTCACTAAGCGAGGCACTGAGCTCATGTGATGGCAGTTCAGTGAGCCTTGCGTATGGCAGAAGTGAATCAATTACTGTCTGTGCCTTGCAGTGGATTGTCCCCCGTGAAATAATCTCAACCTGTCAAATTGTGACAGCTTGCTCTACCTGCACAAATAACACCATTTTCAGAAATCAAGGACTGCTGATATTGCTGTAATAGATCTAAAAGTGCATATTGATGTGATCTGCCGTTTCCTGCGAGATGGCATTTGAAGCTGCTAGTATGCTTAATATTTCTGCTGCATCAGCTTATTATCTAAGAAATGTGGATCAGATTTTTTTGAAAGAGTTCAGCATTGAACAAATCTCCATCTTGTTTAGCTCTGATACTTCCATCCTAATACATGAAAACCTGACAAAAAAAAGCTTTCCATACTTCAAAAATCACAAGCTTAACAACTGCCTGGAGAACATACTTGAGTATCCCAAACATATGTGCTACTGAAATGTGGTGTCCACAAACTCTATTGCAGCATGTACAAACAAATGTACTGGAGCGCTTCTCATCTTCCAGAGTCCTAAAGAGGTTTCCAGAGCACTCAGCCATATCCTTTGTGTTTGAATAGAGCTTGGCAAATGTGGGTTTTTTTCAGTGTTTTGACCAAAATGAAAATTGAATGGGAAGAAACTCAATTACAATCAAAGCAAGTTGGAGATCATTGATATTTTTCAGTTTTGCAATTAGTGGAGAAGTAGTGAGTGACCAGGCTTGGAAAAACTTTGCTTTGGTTAACCTGAAACAATTTGTTCAATGCAAATTAAAATACTTTAATTTCATGGGGGTTTGTTTTAGTTTTGCTTAAATGTTAGAAAAAAAAATTAAAAAAAGCCATTTTAAAAAGAAAAATTACAGTTAAAGATTAAAAGCTAAAAAATCTGATTTTGAAGTATTTTGAAAAAAGTCCACTTTTTTCTGACTGAAAATATTTTTCATTTTGACCAGATTTTACAAGTAGTTTTAGCTAGCTCTATTGAATTACCATTTGGGGAGGAATTAACTTTTGTCAAGACATTGTCTGCCCACCTTCATCTTGAAGAGTGCTGGCAGAGCTGGTGGGAGATAGATAAATATTGCCATTACTGTCCTGTTAGAAGCGGGATCATAGAGCCTTTAATATCTCATGGCTTTTTGCATCTTATCCAAAAGATGAGTGAATGAGCTGCATTTCCAGCCACAACAATAGATACATTGGTCAGCTTCAAGAGGCCATTGCTAACAAAACAGGACTTACAGATATGTAAAACTTCTTTCCTAAATTGTTCATTCATATTATTTATTTTTTGTGGTTTGAGCACACCTATGAATCTAAGTAAACATCATGTAGCTGCCTCTCTGTTCTAAATACAGTGCAACGGAAAAAAGAATTTTAATTTCTTCTTCTTTTGAGACAATGCATTTTTGAAACACTGTTGGTTGCCTTGACACTGTGAGAGTAGCCAGTTATTTTAAAGGAGCACTTGCTTGCTTAGAAGTGCAGTTCACCTTGATCCAGCCGTGCTCTCAGTAGGAAAGGATGGTCAGAGGCTAAAGTGATGGCTGACATAGGCTGCAAAGGCAGTCCATAAAGCTAAGATTTCAGCTTTTCTAACATTCTGGTAGAAGCAAAGAGCAATGTTTAAGTGTATGATCTGTGAAGAGCAGGCAAAGAGTGAGCATGACCAAGTTGTAAAAGAATACAGACCTGGTCATTGCATTTGACCTTTCTGAGTTACAGCAGCATCAAGGGGCTCAACAAGGTTGTGTTTCTGTCACACACTGTGTTGCAGGATGAGAGACTTTTCCCTGAAGAATTTACGATCTCAAATGATCGGCTAAAC